TTGACCTCATGCACCTAGGTAAGGATCCTTTCTCAGGTGTCTCCCTTCTGTGATTTCCACTCCCACCCTCCAGTTTTCCAGCTAGAAAACCAGGGTTTACCCTCTGTGCTGCTGTGTGCTCCAGTGACCAGCACTCTGCAGGGCAGGGGGCAAGAGAAAGAAATCTGCAGGACCACCACAAGCACAACCTGTCACTGTGGCCGCTGCTGTGAGGGGCTGTGGCTTCACTACTAGATCTCTGCTGGTGTGCTGCCCAGAGAGTCAAAGGGCTCTGAACCCCACATGCTGCTATGGATGGAGGTGGTGCTCATCTGAGTAGGTCTGGAAGGATTAAAAGAGCTTTGCCCTAAAAGATGCCATTGCCACAGCCACCAGGACAAGAAGTTCCAGTTTGCTGCTAGCATTTGCCTGGCGCAGTGATGAGAGAACCCAAAGGGCTCCAGCCTGCAGGCTGTGCCACCACATGGAGGGGCTTGCTGCTTAGCTGCTGGTGCTCACATGGAGTAGGGCCAGGACTGTCCAACAAACTGCCCTACAGGGCTGGTGCTGGTGGTGGTGGGGAGCAGGAGGAGCAGGGCTGGAGAGTCACAAGAGCGGGGGTCTGCAGAGGTTGTTGGTACCATGGAGGCAAGGCAGGCAGGTCTTCAGAGTCCTGATCTCTCTGCCCAGCCCACCAGCTCCTACCTACCTTTCAGAATTCTCTGACATTCACTTCATGCATTTTGTCAAGGCTTTTAAATTTTATCAGTGGGAGACATAGGGTGGTGTGTGTTTACTTCACCTTGGTCAGAAATGTAAGTCCCTTTTTACAGAATTTTAAAGAAGTAGGATTACAAAGTGATTTTTCTTTATAATTTTTAGACTTTTCAGTGTTTTTTCCATGTTAAAATCTTTTTGATAACTCTGAGTTCTTTAGCTTATCTGGATAGATGAGGTAACTGAAAAGGAAAGTGATTGAGGTTGGTGGAGGTATGGATAATTATGAATGTTGAGATGTCAAGACAGGGATGCCCACAGACGGTTAAGCACTGCTTGCTGTGGCTGAAGGAGTCAAAGGAAGAGAGAACTTGAGCAACAGGTGGGAATATGAGATGTTTTCTGTCTGGGGGCACTGAGGAGAGTTTGGTGCACTGAGAGGCAGCCAAGGAAGAGAAAATATATGCAGTTGGAGAAACACAGGAAAGGTGGAGAAATGGAGGCCCAGGATGTTGACCATACTTGGTCAGGAAGGGACTGTCAAGGGAAGGATAGGCTGAAAAGAGGAGGAGATGTGAACAGACTTTTCTTTTCTTTTCTTTTTTTAAGAATTCAAGATATATAAACACAATTGACCCTTGAACAACACAGGTATGAAGTGCCAAGGTCCATATATATGAGAATTTTTCTAAATACCATATAGTGCTATAAACGTATTTCCTCTTCCTTATGATTTTCTTAATAACATTTTCTTTTAGCTAGCTTACTTAATAGTAAAAATTCACTATATAAGACACATAACGTACAAAATATATGTTAACTGTGTTATCGATAAAAGGTCAACAGTAGGCTATTAGTAGTTAAATTTTGGGGATTACAGGTGGATTTTTTGGCTGCACAGGGGGTTGGTCCCTGTAACCCCTGCACTGTTCAGTGATCAACTGAATATTTTTTAGCATGATACCAAAAAAAGACTCCTTATGTTCTACTCAAATGAATTGAATACAACTAAAGTAACTGTCATAGAGTAGGTGACAGTCTCTTTGAATTCCTTTCCTCCAGAAAATGCCTCTGACACCCAAAGACAAGATGGGCATCTATCTACACTCCCCTGTGGCATCCAGCTGCCACCTGGCCCTTTAGACTGGTAAGCTCCTTGAGGGCGAGGTCCTCATGCTTTTCCTGATGGCCTTTTGGGGGCCAGCACAGTGCTGTGTGTATCACAGAAATATATGCAATATTTCTTGCAAGAATGAACACATGAATGAGTGAGTACCAGAGTCTAGAGAAAGAGGTTCAGAGGTCTGCGTGTGCTACTGTATCACCTGCCCAGTCTGGAGGGAATGAGCTTAGACAGAAGGCTGAGGCTCATTGTCAAATGAGGCTCCTGGGTGACAATGGCAATTTGTCCAACTATTCTCCAAAATACCCAACATGTGACCACAACCAAATGAAACAAAAATTACACACACACAAAGAAGAATGACTAGAAGGAAAGGACAACAGGGATAACATCTAGAAAGCAGACTCCTAAGTGGTGGCTTTTTTCTATATACTTCCTATGTTTTACCATTTTCTCACACAAGAATCTCTTTTTTCCTGACCTGTCATTTAGACTCTGGGATGGACTGGCTTACCAGGAGGATGGGTAATGTCCTGCACAAGTGAACAAGGCTGGTAACCCCAAGCCGTTAACCTCCTATTAATGGTCTTGTTTGCACTAATGAGCACATACGGTACTGGGATTGCAGAACCGCCCCAACATGGCCCTGTGAGGTCCAGCCCACTTGGCAAAGCTGGGCTCCTCTGTTTACTGCAACAACTGGGGCATCCTCCCTGCCTCCCCCACGGAAGGATTCTTTCATGCCTTCAGAGAAGGAAGGTGGGAATGTGGACGAGAGGAGGAAGAATAAGCAGAGTGCGGGGGACAAAGTGCTTGAGTCCTGAAGGTAGGATTGTGCACCCATCTGGGACACCTTGGTGACCTAACTCTCTGGTGTGTGCGCCCCTGGAAGGCGTACAGGGGTGGCAGCCCATCTGGGAGCTCTGGGTAAAGTGCCTGCCACCACAAGATAATAAACAGCAGTAATTAGGCCTTTCTGGAAAACTGAATAATACTGATATTAAAACTGTTATTATATGTATGTCTTATATGAATTTAATTGCTTCCAGTGGTTATATTTTGGGAGCAGTGAGGATGGCAGTAGAAGTAATAAGAATGAATTAAACCACAAGCAGATCCAGTGTCTGGGGAAGATAGAAGCTGCTTTCACTAATGGGATTTGACAACACAGACCCTGTGATTCTGTTCTGGTCTGCATGAGGCAGGCCCTAGACCCCAAGGTCCCAGGCAGCAGCCAAAACCCAACCTGACACTCGCCCTTCAAATACCACCCACACTTTGAGAGAGATGGTTTCAAGCAGAATGAGGGTAATTCTTCCCTTCCTCTCTCTGCACTGAAATGAAAATCACTACCCCTGCCCTAAAGGAACCTAGATTCTTTCACCTTGGAATTCAACTGGATTGGCTATTTCTGTCACTTAGAGAATGTTAACAAGTGGACAATTCTTTTATACTATACTTTTAAGTAAAGCTGTAATAAATACCGTATTTTATAAATTAAAGAAAAAAAATAAGGTCCTTATAGACCAGTCCAGTCATCTGACAATAAACAAGCCTAAACTCTCACAGCTTAGGCTGAGGAAGTTTTAAATTATTAATATGTCAAGCATTGCCCTCTGAAGCTTCTTTTCCAGCTCTGACCATGAACCCAAGTATCCTGTGTTTAAGTTCCATTCAGTCAGCAAGCCCTTGAGAGACATTTTCAATTCCAGGCCATGAAGGTGGATGGTGCTGATGTCAGGGTTTTATCTGCACAGAGAAAACCCCCTCCTCCCTTGATATTTTAATGGGTTTTTGAAGCACTCTACAATAGCTTCAATAACCTGGCTGGAAATCTGCAGAGTGGATCATCAGCTACAGCTTGAACCTCTCCCAGAGCTCCCTTGCTAATTAGCCTAATGTAGCGACAGTAGCAGCAGCAAAAAATTACAGCTGAGCCAAGGGGCCTTGGATCAGGAAGGCCATGCATGTGGGCTCCTTCAGGGGGTTCCCCTGGCACTACTCCCTGGAACTGTCACCTTAAGAACTTAAAGCACTATACACACACACACACACACACACACACACACACACACACACACACACTTTCACTTCCTAGGATGAAAGCAGAAAAGATAAGAGTTTCTTTGAAAACTGTCTTTACATTGCTTTCTGTGAGCTAATTTTTTCTTACGTGTGCACTTCACCTTCCTTTTAGGGTGTGGGGTCCCTAGGAGAACAACTGCGTCCTATTTCCTCTCTGTCCACAATGCAGCACTAAAGTGGAGTCCTGGACTTAGAATAGCCACTTAAAAACATCCTGAAAATTTTGGTTTTTTTCAAATAAAATTTGCCATGGAAAATTTCTCTTTAGGGCCCTCATCACATGCACACACGACTGGTCCGTGTAGTTTCGTTTCTGGCACACTGATTTCCATTAATAAAAGAACCCAGCAATGAAAGATGATTTAGCTCTACCACAAATACCCATTTCCAACAGATATGTTTCATCTGAAACACTATAAATAAAAAGTGACAAATGTCAAAGACATAGAAAGGTCATCTATTTTGCCTCTGCTCATTTTAAAGGGCAGTTGCTTTAGAAGATTCTTCCATTCAGCCCCAATCTTCACACCACCTCCTTTCTGGGACAGGAAGTTAACGCCCACCCGGAGGGGCTGTCCTTTTACATAAAAGGCTCGTGACTCCAATAAATGGGATGCTTCCCGCATGAGGCTGGGCCACATGAGCCTGATTATTAAACAGGAAAAAATTCTTTCTTGGGGAGTGGGGTGGGGGGAAGGTCAGAAGGACACTAAATGACAGAGGAGCCAGATGCTTCATTTATAACCAAGAAGTGCTGTAGGCCCCAGGAGTACCTCCTTCTACCAGAGTACACATATCCCAAGATTCTGGAACTCACTGAGCTTCCGATCTTAAGAAATGATAGAAGCATTTGAATGATCCCCTGAGCAGCCCATCTCCTCTCCGGGAATATGCTGCAAGATGGGTTTTTACATTTTCTCATTCTCAACTTCCCAAAATCTCTCAGTTCTTGTTTCCTTCTTCTGGTCTCTATTCATAACTCTGGATGAACCGTAAAACAGAGGGATTCCAATGTTTTCTCTTTAGATCTTACCTGGGTGACGCCCCACTTGCCCACGGCCCTGCCCCTTCCCCATCAGGCGGCGCGAGCTCTTACCAGCTGCCCTGTGCGGCGAGACCGCGTCTCTGCTGACCGGGTCTCCCCCTGTCTTAGGTCCTGGGGCAGCGCGGCCTTGACCAGCTCCCCGGGGCCCGCGTCCGGGGACGGCAGGGGGCGGCTCTGCAGCTGCGGCTTCCGGGGCAGGGGCGGCTTGGAGCTGAGCGGCTCCGAGGGCCGAGCCTTCCCCTTTCCCTGCTCCTGCAGTGGGGACCGTGCCCCTCGAGGGGAGGGGGCCTTCGCGACCTGACATTTCTCGTCTTTGGGGAGCAAAGCCAGCCCCCCTTTCTAACTGGGCAATGGGATTTCAGCGCTGTATCTCTTTATCCCTCTTGCTTCGGCAGAGGACGCCTCTCTGTGCTTGAAGGACAGAGACGTGTGAGCGCGAGTTTGACGGCAAGGGCCTCTGTCCTCCCCCCTGATGTTTGCCTGCGAGCCGCCGGGGTCTCTGGGTGTCCTGGGGCTCCGGGTCTGCCCGGCCGGGCCGCTGTCCCCCCCGAGTCCCGGAGAGCTGCCGGCCGCCGGTATTCGGGCGCCCGGCAGGTCGCCGAAGCCGCCCGCTCCTCCCAGGCCAGGCTGTTCAGAAGCTGCAGGCGCATCGGCAGACTGCGGGGTCTGCGCGCAGCCAACAGGGCGCTGCCCGAGCGCGGCCACGCCCGGCCCGACGACACGGAGAACTTCACGGCCCGCAGCTCGCTGCCTGCCCGCTCCACCTTCCGCCGCGCCGGCTCTCTCCGTCCCCCCCCCTGTGGGGCCTCTCTGCGGGCCTGGGCTGCTCGCCTCCGGCCCAGGGACCGGGAGCGGGCTCCTCCGCAGGCGGCTCGCAGGCGGCCGGCGCGCCGGGGCTCTCGCTCACCGCCGGGGCCTTGTGCTTCAAGCAGCTCTTGGGAGCCGAGGGGCTTGGGGCAGGGGTCTCTGGAGATCCCTTCCCTGCTCCCTCGGGCTCGGGCGCTTCCAGCGTCAGCTCCACCTCCTTCTGGACACTTTGGTCTGGCCCATCTAGACCAGGGGGTGTCTCCGAGGTGACGGCAGGGTCAGTCTCGGGAGGCGTCGTGTCCCCCTCGGGGATGGAGGGGGATAATCGAATCTCGATGTCTCCAGAAGCACAAATCACCTCATCAGCTGTTTCCCTGGCTGGGGGACTTGTGCTTTCCAGGGACGGCTCCTCCCTCTGGATTTCGCTGTCAGGATTATGGTGGTGATGCGGGGAACCTTCTGGCAGAGATGGGGACTCCGCGCGGGGGACTGGGCCCGACTCGGACTCAATGACCTCGGGGGTGGCTGGGCGGCTTGAGGTGTTATCCCCAAGGAAGCTCTCCTCCTCGGCGCTGGCACTGAGTGCAGGGCAGTGCTGCAGGCGTGCCCGCCTAGCCCGTGGCCCCCCAGATTGCAGCATAGTGGCTAGTCCTCCAGGCTCAGGGCTTCTGTCGAGTCCCACATCCTGCTGTGCAGAATTGGGGTTCTCTTCTGTGCTGACTTTGGGTAAGGACTTATCATCATATTCCTCTTCCTCTGGGGTGCACGTCAGATCACTCAGGGATTCAGACTGTGCTCGCTGGCAGAGATAAAAAGGACAAAGACAGCATCATCATGTCAAATATGTCAAATGCCTATGACATTCCCATTTTGTATAAGAGGAAACAGTGTGTCTCTAAAGCTGGCACCTAAGCAGGCAGTGACACAGGGTAGGGTGTCTCTTAATAACTCCCATATTGGTCTGTTTGGAATCTTGCCTTACAAGTTCAGCTTTCAGCAGAACAATGGCAGCTATGCCCTCTAGGTAAATGGTGCTTAAGGTTCTAGTGGCTGAGCCACAAACACTGCTCTACAAAGCAAAGGGAAGGGGATCAAATCAGCTGGGTGTCTGCCATGCTTTACACTCCACACCTATTATTTCATTTACTCTTGATTCATCCCAGCAAGGAAGAATTATTTCCTCTTTGCACTTGTAGTACTGGGAGCTCAGAGAGGGCCATACTTTGGTTAAGGCTGAGCTTATTAGCTCAGGTGAAAAGCTGATGCTCTCTCCATGACCCTGTGCTGCCTGAGAGCTAGTTTTCCATCTCAGTGCTCCCTCTCTCTCTCTCTCTCTCTCTCTCTCTCTCTCTCTCTCCAGAGATGGGCCCCAAGGTGAGGGCAAACTGGTTTGCCTAAAGGGTAATTTCATATCACATCAAACACAGTCAACGGCAAACCACAGCTTACAAGATAAAGTCCAAAAGCATAGCCGATAGGATAAAGTCCAAACTTTTCAGTTAAGTCAAAAGTCTAATATTCTCTGGTCTTAAATTATTTCTCCTAGTCCCTGCTCAGGTCAAGCCATGCCCCCACTAGTGAATGTGCCCGACTCTGGGCCTGAGTGACTGGCCAGCTGCTCTTTCCCCACATCTCCAGGTGTTCTACCAGTAACCCCCAAGAACAGTCTGAGATTCTACTCCAACAGGAAGTCTTGCCTATTGCCTGCAGCTTATGGTGCTCCTCCTCTCCCCGAGCCCTACCGGTGTGACAATCAAACACTGCCTTGTATTTTTTGAAGTCTCTGGAATTTAAATTTAGTCCAACTTCCTCCTTACTGTACCCAAAGTCAGTTGCTGCTCTCTTAGGAAGGAAAGGAGATCAAAGTAGCAATGAATTATTCAAAAGCATGAGAAAATGACCAAAAGGTTGAGGGTGTGAGGTCAATCTTTTTATAAAAAAATTTTTTAAATGTTTTTGTTTTTGAAAGAGAGAGAGAGAGAGAGAGAGAGAGAGAGAGAGAAAGTGGGGGAGATGCAGAGAGAGAGAGAGACAGAATCCGAAACAGGCTCCAAGTTCTGTGCTGTCAGCACAGAGCCCTACGCGGGGCTTAAACCCACGAATGGCAAGATCATGACCTGAGCTGAAGTCAGATGCTTAACCGACTGAACCACCCAGGCGCCCTGAGGTCAATCTTTTTAAAAAGTTCGGGACATCAGACCTCCTTTCCTTGATGTAAAGAAACGCTCAGGGAGTGTTTGCAGTAGGTTTTAGTTTTTGTTTGCTGTGTTATTTTAACATTTCCACTGGCATCTGCTTGGTAACAGAACACAGGATAAGTGGGATGTCTCTGACAACGCCTAAGTGAACTCTTGCCAAGATGCACAATTCTATTCCCATGGATTTGAAAAGAGGAAGATGTGCAAAGAAATCTACAGAAGAATTTTCAAAAGCGACAGTTTCAATAGGTGTCACGGGCCTTTTGCTACTACAGGAAATCACTGATGTTGAAACCTGTTTAGGATGTGGGTCATGCTTTAAAACTATCATAAGCCTCACTAAATGAGCATAAAGCTGAGAAGCAGGCCTGGCTGGGAGCATCCCACCTTGGGCCACTGGCAGCTACAAGGAGGTAAGGGTGGAGGGCCAGGCAGAACAAAGGTAGTGTGGAATATGGACTCGGACACTGAACAGAGTTTCTCGAGGGAACAAAGTGGGCTTCTGACTTGGTCTGGGATCGTCAGCTTGGTCCTGGGATCATCAGGAAGGATGCATAGACCCACCCCCTTGCTGCTGCCGCCTCCTCTCCCCTCCTCTCCTGGGCCCTCACAGCAGCCTCGCATACCCAAGAGGGGCCAGGGTACCAGGAAAGTCCTCATGGTTGGGAGGAGGGACCTCATGACCGAAGGGCAAAGGGGGCTATGAATACTCGAAGGAGAGAGGCCCTGCCTTAGGACCCAACAGTGACTCTGGTGACCACTGGCCAGATACCTCTGCCCAGTCAAAAACTTAAGGTATCCGTGCCTGCTCCCTACCAAGAAGGGGAAGCAAAGAAGGAAGGAAGATATGTAAATGACAGAATTTAAATCAAGGAATGTTTACTGGACTGACTAAATCAGAATTTCTGTTACTCTAAAAAATGGGGTTCAAGAGCTAATTCAAGTTCGAATGTAAAGAAAGAATGAGAGGTACAGCTTTGTCCAGAGGACAGTAGGGCAGGAAGTTGTATTTCCCCCATCTGGAGTATGAGTGCGGCTTCTCTCTGCTACAAAGTCCTGAGCAGGCTGTGGCTGGTTACACATACCCTTGCCAAAGCAAAAGACATCCCCATGGGAATAAACCCTAGACTTGAGGACAGAGGGAGCTGGCTCTGTCCCTGCCCTGTGGTCCCACTCAGTATGAGTATAGGCAGGTTCGAGTTCCTGGTCCTTGTCAAGTCCCACAGCACCAAGCCTGTAAATGCATTGGATGTGCAAGCACTTATACAAGTGTCCAGCTTGCACAAGGGCATATTGGCCTGAGGGTAACAATAGCTGACTTCTTTCTTCAGCCTTAGTCTCCTCTAAAGTCAACCCTGCTGGCCTGAGTTTAAAAAGCACCTACCTTCCACACGCCCAAAGGAAACCCCACTGTCTCCAGGGAGTCCCCAGAATCCTGAGAAGTCCCAGCCCACCACCCCTAGCTGAGCACCTAGCTCATCCTGGGCACTTCATCAATACCCCCACAATACTGTCTCCAAGGAAGGAGGGAGAGAATGTTGGTCTGTGAACATCTCTTTCTCAGCACTCTCATTCTCTGTGGCCAGTCTGGCCCCACACCTGCCCTCAGCTCCTCCAGGGCTGGAATACTGTGGGCATCAGGCAGTGGAGAAGTCTACAGTCCTTTGTGGACCTATAACCTACGGGTACTATGAAGACAAAACACTCCACGAATGAGTTCTTGACACCCAGAACTACAAGCTGACAACTACACAGGCAGTGTGACCAAAGAGGGATCTGTCCTCATAGGGGCACAGTCCCCATGCTAATAAGTAGGTCCTTGTCCAAGGCAGAAGTCTGTGCTAGTGTGTCAGCTTATCTGTCATTGGTTCATGTCTTCATTTGTTCATCCATTCAACAAATGTGCACTGAATACCAGCTGTGTGGTTAGCATTGCTCTAGGGGTGGAATGTAGGGCTGGGACAAGGTCTCAAGAAGACTGGCAATAAACAAGTGAGCATACACAATTATAAAGGTCACTTATGTGTGTGGCCTGTGCTATAAAGAAAGTGAAGGGGTGGGAAGGGAGGGCTGCTTTCCATAAGATGGTCAAGTGAGCCCCTCTGGGGAGAAGACCTCTGAGCTGAGACTCCAAGGCTAAGGAGCCAGCCAGGAGAAGAATGTCTCAAGCAAGAGATCAAGGCCTGAGGCCAGAGACAGGCCAAATCGTGTTGAGTGAGTGAGGCAGAGAATAAGAGTAGGTCTCAGAGGTAGGCAGGGCATGGTCATGCCAGGCCTGGAGTGTGGACCTTACACTCAGTGCTGTTGGAAGGCAAGGGACCCACAGCATGTAGCAGCTTTCACAGGAGGTGCTGCAGAACCAAAGAACAGATGGCATATTTATGCAAGGAAGAGACATATCTGACGTATATTGAAAAAGATGAGCAACTCTAGCTCCTGGAGATGGTCCTACTGACCATGGGGTTTCTCGGAAGGGGCACGTGACCCTGAGGGGAGAGAGGTGGGG